TGTTGACGAGTCTTGCATTGCGATGATAGGCAATACATCAAGAGGACTCAAAGACACCTCCTATCTCTCCCCTATGGGCCTTGATGTGGTAGTATCCTGAGCACAAGGATATACAACATTTGCCCCTAAGGCTTTAATAAACTCGAAAGGGGGAAAATTAAGAAAATCACTGTCACTAAAAGGTACCTCGTCTGAACTTACATCCAGCGTGGTGGCATCCAGACCAGTCTTCTTCATGCAATGAAACATGCGCCCACCTGCAGCACTTAGCCCAAACACGGTCGCCATCGACCCATACTCTCCAATGATAGGCTGCACTATAGGATCACCAATAGAGGACTCAGTATCCTCACTCTTAAACTCAACCTCGTCAATGAGCAGTGACTCGCAAAGCTGCACCCTCTGACGTTGCACATTCGGTACTTGAGAGCTCGCACTCACACCACTAGCACTAACAGTCACAGGTATTTCAAGAGCCACAGCCGCTCGTTTTGGTGGAGGACCAGGCCTCAACCGTGGCTGCGCCCTCTTCTTGCACCTAGTGGTCATCCCCTCCTGTACCACTGTCGGCATTGGTGTATCGCTCCCTAGAGGAGCCTGCTCTGTTTTTTGAATGCCCATGCCTTCCAAGGGCACGGACCTACAATATTCTCCCCTGTCAAAATCAATGGGAGGCCTCAAAAAGTAATCACCATGGTATATCACGCTAGCTCGAACCCTCTCTACAGGACTTTCGCAAAAATCTTTAAGCTCGCAAGTTGAATAACCCAAAATGTGCGGCTTGCAGTCTTCCAAGTAGAAACAGAGCACCCACCCCCTCTATCAATAACCCCGTGTGTGTCGATAAGAACCTGAGAAAGCTCCTAGTATAGGACTCCTAGCCGCCTACAAATATGAATTGTGAGGGTACCCCTCGATCATACCCAAATTGAAGGGGCACTCTGCGAGGGTTATAGGTCTTCACTAATTTCCCGCCTTCCTAGGATGCTAGCAAGTAACCAGGTGTCATACATAACAGCAATATTAGTACCTCACTCGTGCACAGCCTAAAGGCACCACTTGGAATGTACTCATCTACATCGAAATACATGGCTATAGTCAGCACACCTGGTAATACTTTTGCGTAGGGTCGCGTAACAAACTGGAAGCTTTGGTCAATTGCATAGTTGAGGCGACCTTGAGGAGCACACCCATGCCATCTCATCCCTCGCACAACCAGGTCACCACTGTTTAACACCGCAGGCGCTGAAGCATAAGAATTAATCCTTTCAAACAGAAACATTTGTAGGAATAATGTGGAAACATACGAATCAACCACGTAGCGCCCCACAGAACGCGCTGAGTCTTCTGCCACTAGATACAAGGTTCCTAAAAACAAAGGCGCCAAAGCTACTTTAACACCGCTCGCTAACTTCACAACGATATCCACATAGCGCGATAGAGGCCCATCTTCTGGAGTACCATCCAATAAAGACCATAATATCCACAGCAGGTACGTAGTGAGGTTCGAGGGATGATCCACCCAAGGACTAGCAAGGCCGTCTCTGGCTTCTTCAGATAAGTCTTTCTTTGACATCGGATAATCTCTAAAGTAGTAACGTACTTACGACCCAAAGGTTCACTTTCGAGCTCCTTTCCCTCGATCTGCAAGTTTCACCCCCTTCTTTCGCCATTGAGTGCCAAAGTTTTTGGTTTTATCTAAGGCCTCAGTCAAATCCCTTATCAACACCTACTCTGCAGCGCTAAAGGTCCATGACCCAGGGTTCTCTATACCTTGGAAAGGCAAACCAAGCAGTTGAGTCATATCTTCAATGGTGGGAGTAAACTCTCCCCACGCTGTGATAAAGGTATGAAAGCTCGAGCTCCACCGCGATACTAGCTCCCACACACCGGCCATATCGCGTGGGATACTCAATCGCCGAAATAACTTAATAGACGGAAGCACCCCATCACTGTCAACATGCGTTCATACTCCGTGTTTACAAGAATAGCATCTGTCCACTCCTCCCAACCATGCCCGGGGCTGGTGTGATTTACTAAATCTACGTACGACCAAGGGTATTTTCCCTATTCCACACAGAACCTTAGAATCGTGTTCGCTAGTATACGCGGGGCAAAGGCAATCTCCACCTCCTCCTCCATCAACTCCGGGAACTCCAACGGTTCACCCTCGGCCCCACCCTTCTCCACCCATGGCCAAAACCTATCATGTTTCCCAAATAATGGTGCCCATCACCATTTCAAGTCCACAGGCACTCGTGGCGGTGGTGCATCCCTCTTTCTCAGCTCTTTACGCACCATGGTAGTCTCAAGGCACAGCTTTCTTTAACTTCCTCAGCAACAATGGCAGCCCACAGATCTCTCAAAGTTTTCCCTTTGTTCTACCTTCTGTTCCTCTCATTTGGTCTCTTTCACGCAAGTAGGAAAAGAATACACAGTAAAAGGTTTGGTGTTTCAAACTGGGTTTCAACAAACACACCCTTTTAAATCATCACACCTCAGGAACTCCCCCATTTGAAGCGACACTAAAACGGCGCATTGATGACCCTTGCGTCGTTCCAATCTCCTCGATTCAATGACCACATAACCATTTAGATATTGCACATGCAACGATAATCTCTGAATTTTAGTTATTAACAAGAGCCACATAGCGGGTTGAAAAGTCAAAATACCTCGTTGAATCGAAGGCCTAACCCTCAAGCATCCCAAACCTTAACATCACATCAGGTCACCAAGCCTTGAGGGCCCACCCCTTGAGTATCCCAAACCCTAATATCACATATCAGGTCACTAAGTCTTGAGTGCTTGGACCTCGAGCACACCATAAACCCTAGTATCACACTAGGTCACTGATACTCTAGAGCCCAGACATCAAGCACGCTATAAACCCTAGTATCACACCAGGTCACTGAGCATCGAGAGCCCGGTCCTCGAGCACACCATAAACCCTGGTATCACACCGGGTCACTGAGCCTCGAGAGCCTATTCCTTGAGCACACCATAAACCCTGGTATCACACCAGGTTACTGAGTCTCGAAAGCCTAGTCCTCGAGTATACCCCCAAACCCTAGTGTCACACTAAATCAACTGAGCCTCGAGAGCCCGGTCCACGACCACACCCCAAACCTTGGTACACATCAAGTCACCAAAACCTATAAGGTCAAATCCTCGAGTCCCTCAAACCCCAACATCGCCCTAGTTCGTTAAGTCTCGAAGGCTCGGCCTTCTAGCACCCTCTCTGAGACAGCAATAGCCCATGATCTATCATCACTACAACTTCATGAGTCCAAACACAGCACCAAATGAAGGTAGGGCCTTCTTAGCTATGTGGAATCTTACTTTGGGAAGCCTTGAAGGATCTTGGATTGGTGGATGAGAAGAAGTAAAGAGAGCCTCTACTCCTAGCGTGGCCTAACTAACAAGATGATGGAAATATAATGTGACAGAAAACCTTAACATCACATTTAATGCTCTGACTACGTTCACCACATATTTAACCAACCGACGGTCAAATAAAGACAAAGAGCATTTAATGCCTCAAGTAAAGAGAGATGCAACATAGCGCATGGCTCGATAAGGGGATTTAACCACTTAGGCTCCTAAGACTATCATCATAACTACTCAAGTGGTCATAGGTAGGAGCGAGGCATGAAGCGAACCATTGGTTAATACCCAGCATGGTTCGTGGTCTATAAATAGCCACTCTCTCACAAAGAATGAGGCAAGAGCAACAAGAAAGAAATGGACTATCACCAGAACTATGTATTTTCCCTACCTCCATCTTAATCTTGTGAGATCGGTCTTCTTCTCCTCCTTCATCAAGCACCTTCTCTGCTTCCCTCATATTTGTGTTTAAGATATCACCTACATATATACCTATTTTATTGTGTTACGAAAACGAACCCCTACACAGGGCAATTGTGGAATTATATAAAAAGTACACTCATGTGCTCCATCTGTTGGTCGGAAATGTGCCGAAAGTGACTCGCAAGGGGGCAAACTGCACGTTTCTTATAGTTGTAGTACTTACTTGCTCGATTTTATAGTTCAAGTGGGTAAAATGCTAATTTTTTATAGTTGAGGGGAGTTTTTATACTTTTTTGCCTATTAATTATTTACCATTATGCACTATCCTTTGTATATCAACAATTCTCTACTTCATCGGCATGTAAGTGGATATGATTTTAATTTAAATCTGAACCGAATCCAAGCCAATTAGGCTATGAATTGGAACATTCAATTCTATACCATGTTGGCAACTCGAATCTAATAATCCATTAACTAAACAAATCGAATATGAATTTGGTTGATCCATTGATAAGCCTACTTGACACTAGATTGCTGAAAAAATGTGCCTTTTTTTTATTAGAAGTAGAATTTAATCTCATTAATTTTTGTAGATCATCTCCTATTAAGAAAGAGAATAAGGAATATACAACCTATTGATTTGTAGATCATCTCCTATGCAAACTCATCATTCCTTCAAACTTTCTCCAAGCTTTTGGCTGCTCTTCAATGGCTTCAACACCACCCCAAATCTTCATTCCTATGACCTTGTATGAAATTCACCAGCTTTGGAAGGGTGAGCTCCAGGGAAAATTAATAATAAAAGAAGGGTGAGCTCCAATGGAAGTCTAGAAAGTTAGAAACCGTAAATAGAATACGTCTTGTATTGTAGAGAGAGAGAGAGAGAGAGAGAGAGAGAGAGAGAGAATCTCAAAGTCTGTCTCAAATGTGTATTAGAATAGAAGAGAACCACAACACAAATTTATAGAAGAGGGGTGGGCCGCGCCCTAGGGTTAGCCGCCCTCTCTCCTGGTCACTAGTTATTTCATCAAACTTTCTTGCTTCCTCCTCATCAAACCCCCATAGTTTGCCCAAAAAAAATAAATAAATAAATAAAAACTTGCCTAAATGGGGACTAGTCAACTCTCGCGGCAAATAATTAGCAATTAATTATTTTTAATTCCACTAAATGAAAATAACTGCACTCGAAAAAATGAATAAAAAAGCCACACCATGTTAAATTACGATATAACCATTCCATGCATAATTAGTGGATTGGATACAATAATATCATCAATCCAATTACTAATTTTCCCTTCGTTCAATCACTTTATGCCAGTTCCTCTCACAAAAATTGCACAGAGGATGCCTTGAATTTCTATCAAGCAGACACAACATTAAATCAGATCTTGCCATATCAGCCTCAAGTTGGCCGCTGCTTGTCCTCGGGGAAAAGGCATGCGACTTTGTTTTTTGGTTTTTGTTTTTCCTTGGTACATGCGAGACTTTGTTCCTCCCTCCTACCCTATACTTTTAAAAATCAATGACAGCAATGAGGTGCTTCAGCAAAACTGTACCAGTGTATTATATTATACCCCCGGAGACACTCACGAAGTTGCTACCACATCCCAGCGCCAGATCGTCCCGTCCTCACAACAGCTGAGAATGGTACTGCAACATATAGAGATGAGCTGATCACACACTATGATTAAGAAGAGTACGTCTACTAAACAAAATTTAGATATCCAAGGCTGGGAAATCTATCTGGGAGTTTTTACCTTCCATCAAAGGACATGGCAGTCTGTCGAATAGGAGATTTGGATTGGACATGAGACAACCTGATTGATATAGGAAAAAATGTAAGCAAACATTAAAAACAATCCCATTTACCGAAATGCTTGGCTTCCATATCATGGTAAGTTGGACTAAGAAGACAGAAAACAAACCTTGCAATGAGAACAGGAGGGCTGGATTGCAGTTCCCAGACAAAAATTTTCCCTTCCCTGTTCCCTGTAGACAGAAGATCTAATGGGTTATAATCTTCGTACAAAAAAGCAAAACTCATTAATATAATGGTTGCATGGGCTGTAGTAGCTAGATTGGTATCAACAGGATTAGTATATTAGCAATATGCTGCTGGATAAGTAAAAAAGACACGATAGAAAATTGGAAATGTAATATTATGTAACAACTTGCATTACCTATAGCAACTGCATTGTAATGGAAATCACACGAAAACTTGATGAACCAAATATCACACTCTGGAGCTGGGTATTTTTGAAGGATGTCAACTGAGCCCTAAACAGAAATCATATGGGATTTTCGAAGGAACAGAGAGCATTATGCTGGTGAATTTCATGCGCTCGCAAAACAAATCTGGCAAGGCTTGAAGCTTGGAAGGGAAAAAGAGACGAGAATATTCTTACCTCTCCGGGAGACTGTTCATTCATTTTTGGTTCCCACAATACAATTTCATTGTCAACACTCTGCAAATATGCAACACACAACTCATATAACAAACATATACATATGTATAGCATTATATGAATTTCAGGATTCTACGAGTGCATCAGAACATATCAAACAAGAAACAAAAAGGGAAGGGTTAAAAAAAAAGGGTGTCTAGAAGAAACTGAAAGGAAACTAAGTTCGAAGAATTGGTAAGAAACTACCGAATAAGTATCTTAAAACTCATGTTCCAGTTCGATAAATGCAAGCAATTTTACAGAATTAGCAAAGCCTAAAAGTTGCATTTGCTATCTGCTTTTCTAAAGAAGTTAACAATGGTCATTACGGAGGTCTGATGAGAGCCATTCTGGCATTCTGCTACATTGACATGCCCAAAAAAACAGAATTTCACCTTCAATTTACAATCCACAAAAGTGAAAGCTTCTATGGTAAAAGTAATTCTATTTGTTTAATTCACAATCCACAAAAGTTGATTTTACCACACAATCAACTTATGCACTTGGGTGAGTCATCCTCGAAAGTCTTCAGACCAGATTGCACCCATACTGGTTTCAGTAAATCAATAAAAATAAATTACCAAACAGTCAGCATATTATTAACAGAAAGATATTCCTTAATGCTTAGTCACATCTAATATGTAATATACTGCCTTTTTGCCTGGCAATTCAAGTTTACTTTTGGATTATTAGTGCATCAAGCCACTAACCTTAGAGAGGATAAAATCACCAAGCCACCTATTACAGTCAACATAGTTTGAATGAACTGAAGCTATGAATACCTGAAATGATAAAAGTAACTCAGTACAACACCAAGAAGTACTCTTCCGAAACATGGAATAGCCACTGCTACTTACAGGAAACTGTACATATTTTGTGGGGAATTTTGATGGAAGATCTGTCCATGTGAATGACTTCTCAACATATGTCCAGAACTCTGGTTGGATAAATGACAAAAAGGATTAAAAGGGATATTATATTACTTGACAATATTCCAAATACCTAGCTGAGATCATTTAATAAAGCAGGCATCAGGTGAAACAGGTGAAACACAGCCTGAAGAGCACAATGACAGATGGTATTCGCCATCCACTCGGCAGGGAAAATAAAGCATACAAATTGATGGATAACACAAAAAACTAAAAAAGTACTACAGATGCATATTTATATATAAATGGTGTTTTAATAAGTTATTCTATGTTACAAGGACTCGGCATTTTGCCTTAGAGTACTCCTGTCGACAAGGCACAACACCAACACGGGTGCGGGACGCCGGTACAACACAACTGGAGAAGAAGTGGAAGAGGAAGGGAGAAAAAGAACTAAACAAATACTAACCTGTTCACAACGACTAATCCTTATTGGAGACAAAACATGCTTTGTTGAATGTCCTTCTATCAAAATCATTCTTACTGGAGTCTAAGATGGTCGTCGAAATGCCTTTCCGATCGCCGATCAAGCGGCTAGGGCTAGGATTTTATTCTTCTATAGCGGCGGAATAGTAAATGAAGAGAAAAATAAATCGTAAAGACAGGCTGCAGTCCTAACATTTTTTTTAATAAGTTCATAAAGTTGAAATTGCAGTTTTGCCCCAAAATTTTTATATTTCTTCAAAAATACCTAGAATACTACTTATTCTTACAATTTCTCAATGATGACGGTGATGGAGAATCTTAGCCATTGATTTTGTTTCATTAAAGCAACACATGGTGATTAGTCAAGATGTGGACAGAGGTACCACAATTTTTTTGATGCTGTCAGTCTATTCAATTGGTGACTTGTCCATTTAGGGGACCATCATTTGACACAGAGAGAGAGAGAGAGAGAGAGAGAGAGAGAGAGTTGACCTGACCAGGCTTCCACCAAACACGTCTAGCAAGTACCGTGTCTTATGTGGCCTCTGATTTTTGGAGCTAGGGGGATCCTGTGGGCGACACAAAATCCCATATTTGCGCCATCACAGCCCCCAAATAGGCCCACTCCGCTTCTGCGTTCTGGTCATAAAGGAGGGATCAGCCTGGCATGGCAATCATTAGGAACAATGACGAGCTTCAGTGGAGAAAAATAAAAAGAATCGGTTAAAATGGCTTCGTGTCGTATTTTCTCAGATTTTGCATGTGTGATACACGTCACTTCTATTTCTCCAAGCAAAGCTCTTCACATCGCAATGCCTGTCGTGTCGGCTTCTTAAAAGGATTCTATTCTTATTACCGCGCACGGCACTTTCTATTTGGCTTTTACTTCAGTTGAATAAGGGTAGTGGTAGGGAGAGATCATAGGGGGATCCTGTGGGCCACACAAAATCCCATATTTGCGCCATCACAGCCCCCAAATAGGCCCACTCCGCTTCTGCGTTCTGGTCATAAAGGAGGGATCAGCCTGGCATGGCAATCATTAGGAACAATGACGAGCTTCATTGGAGAAAAATAAAAAGAATCGGTTAAAATGGCTTCGTGTCGTATTTTCTCAGATTTTGCATGTGTGATACACGTCACTTCTATTTCTCCAAGGAAAGCTCTTCACATCGCAATGCCTGTCGTGTCGGCTTCCTAAAAGGATTCTATTCTTATTACCCCGCACGGCACTTTCTATTTGGCTTTTACTTCAGTTGAATAAGGGTAGTGGTAGGGAGAGATCATAGGGGGATCTTGTGGGCCACACAAAATCCCATATTTGCGCCATCACAGCCCCCAAATAGGCCCACTCCGCTTCTGCGTTCTGGTCATAAAGGAGGGATCAGCCTGGCATGGCAATCATTAGGAACAATGACGAGCTTCAGTGGAGAAAAATAAAAAGAATCGGTTAAAATGGCTTCGTGTCGTATTTTCTCAGATTTTGCATGTGTGATACACGTTACTTCTATTTCTCCAAGCAAAGCTCTTCACATCGCAATGCCTGTCGTGTCGGCTTCCTAAAAGGATTCTATTCTTATTACCGCGCACGGCGCTTTCTATTTGGCTTTTACTTCAGTTGAATAAGGGTAGTGGTAGGGAGAGATCATAGTCTCTCCATGTATGTTGGTAAGGAAGTCAGTTTAATACCAGTATTTTTAAATATTTTTTTCGAAAACAATACTATAATTTATAAATTTGATAAAGTAACAAAAGATGACAATATAAATATTACAATTCAAGACCAAATAGTTACTCAAAATAACTATTTTCGTTACCTAGGATCAATGTCACAAAATAATGGGGAGATTGATGGTGATTTAGTAAGTAGGATAGGAGAAGGGTGGACAAAATCGAGGCAAGCTAGTGGTATAATTTGTGACAAACAACTACAAAATAAATTAAAAGGAAAATTCTATAGAACAGTTATTAGGCCACCAATGTGTATGGAGCAGAGTGACGGACTTTGGAAAAGACAAAAGTACAACGCATTCACGTAGCGGAAATGAGGATGCTACGTTGGATGATAGGAGCAACTAAAAGAGATGGGGTAAATATGTTAGGTTTATAGAATTAACTAAAAGAGATAGGATAATTTTTATTTTATTTTAGTGAGTGATGAGTCATTAAGTTGATAGAATTGAGTGTGTAAGTCTACACTTGGTGAAGAAAGCTACATAAAAGGACCAGAATGTCAACTTTGACGAGTCAGAGAATGCAAAGGTAAATTCACACCAATATATCATCTCTTACCATATGAGTTCATGCATACATGTTATATATGTTAAGTATCAAAGTTTCCTAAACTTGCTTTAACATTACTTGTACATTAAGAAATGTTTATAAACATGTATATATATTTATTTTGACAAGTTTCAAAGTTTCTAAAACTTAATTGGATATTGCTTGTCCAAAAAAACTTTTTAGAACCTTCCTCTCATCGAAGTATCATAAAGTCCGATAGATCGGCAACCTTACAGGTATCGATCGAAGGAGGTCCCATAGGGTTGGATTGAAGTAACCCTAAGCCTCAATCGATTAAAGGTTCTATAGGAATCGATCCAAGGTTATGCGGGATGAAAAAAAATTTAAAACGTGTTTTCCAAGTTATTAAATACCTAACCCGTTTTGGAATATTTAGGTAAGTTGCTTGTATATGTTAGTGTTCTCATAAACCCTAGCATGCATAATAGTGAGAGGAAATAGTGCAGCTAATGCAAAGATAACATATACACAGAGATATTGATACAATGTTCAAAGCTTTGCATTAGAGATTTTTGTTTTTTTCTTTTTCCACAAGTAAGCGTATTGAGAATAGAGAGTGCACTATTATTGTTTTTCATTATTCGTCATACAGCATTAGACATGGTAATCATGATGATATAATCAAGGTGTTGTAAAACACACAGATTAATAAGTCTAAACTACGATGACGTCACTAGGGACGATTTCACCCCACTAGGGGCGATTTCAAGGTGATAGTGACTTCGTCCTTTCTTTCTTTTTTTGTTTTCGTTCGTGATGAAATCTTATTTAGAGACTACAAGGATTCCAAGAATTTCAATAACTGGGGATGTGAAGTCGGCAGTTCCACATCGAGGACCATCTTTGTACATCGACGGGAAGTCCGTCGCAAGGAGGAAATCAGTTCTCTCATCTTGCTTGGTCGGGCGTTTTGACAAGGAAGTTGGGGGTTGTGATCGTGTGGAGGAAGGGGCGGCGAGAGCATGGAATACGTCCTGTGGAGTAGGGGTTACACCATTATCTGATTCGCTGCTCCTTTTCAGGTTTCCTTCTCAGGTCGAAGCCCAACGTGTGTTGAAGGAAGGTCGGCGTCAATGGGGATCTGCAACCCTGCGGATCGATGTATGGTCTTTTAGGGTTCGTTGTTGCGGCGTCCTTAGAGAAAAAGGTCTCAAACAGATCCAGTTGTTTGGACTTCCCCTTCACCTATGGTATCATGCTTTATTTGTTGAAGTAGGAGAGCTGTGCGGCAGATTTGTGGGAGTTGTTGCTGATGAAACAAGGGACGCTGAAAGTGTTCGGATTACAGTGAGAATAGAATTGACCTGTCCGCAATTTGTGTTTATTAATGATGACACTTTCTGTTATAAGGTGGCAATCTGGGAAGAAATTGCGCCGGCGTTGGTTCCCTCGACAGAGAGTATTGAAGGCGGCGACGGGTCTCATCATATGCCGAAGAAAGAATGGGTGCGAGGAAGATCAAGTAAACGACACGCGCAAGTCACGCGCGTCATAGTTTACAAGGATAAATTTACACATGGCGCTCGTAGAGACTTAATTCCAGATTCGACCCTATCCTTATCTACAAGGGTTGGTGAGGAAGCTGGGCTGGGCCGCACAGATTAGCCTAAAGTCGATTTGGGCCGGAGGGGTTATGGGCAAACTAAAGCGTTAAGGTTCAAGCCTAATTTTGGGCCTAAGCCAGCCCACACTAAAAGACAGGTTCTTGGAGGACCCAAATCATTTTCTGTTTCAGTTCTTAATGAATCAGATCCAAGGAAAGCCCATGTTCACACTCAAACCCAATATCAAAATCTCTCCTCTTCTTCATTTCAGCGTCGGACTGAGAAAGAAAAGTCGAAACGGCCGGTTGCCTCAGCTAGTCGACAGGGTACCCGATGGACTCATACTGAAAAACAGAAATGGGTAGCACGCTCTCCTTCTTCTTCTCCAGGTTCAACCTCTGTCTCTCATCCTAAGAGCTCATCTTCTACCCCTTCTTCGTGTGAGATGATGGGAAATGGTGATGGTGGAGTGGCAGATCGTTTGGATCAAAGGAGAGGTCTTTCTGAAGCCATTGTTCCACGGGATGCAGAATCACCATCTTCAATGACCAAGTCTGAAAGTATTGGTTGTTCTAACGGGGTGACAGTTTGTGCTAGACGAGACCTTCATTTTAAGCTGACAGGTGATTTAGCCGTGACTTTACTTAATGAACTTAAGCTCTGTGTTGCTCTAAAAGACTTAAATGGTCTACCGTCCGTGATTGGGACGAACTCTACCTATGATTTGATGACAAATT